ATCGCGATGTGTAGACAGAAAACCTGTGTGATCTGGGGGTATTTCAGGTTGTGGGCCAGGCTGCAGTGCTCAGTGGGCCAGTCTAAAACAGAACTTTCCACACAAACTTTCCATGCAACCACCAAGAGCCAAGTTTGTATTGGCCACTCTGATCACACTGAATTCTTCACTGACCTAAAAACCGGTGGATGCAGGGCTGCTATAGCCAGGTGGGACCCAGGCATTAGACCAAGCTGTCTAGGTCTGTGTAAGCTCAACGGAGTCTCTCTCACCCCCAGAGGTTGGGCCAATGCACCCACCTTGTCTCACTAAAAAATTATGTTTGCCTGGTGTGACGTTGCACTCCATCTGTGTATGGAAATATGCTTATGAGGGTGAAAATAATGTAACTGGAATATGCTTTGCGCAAAAGGTCTCTTGTAAGGTATCATTACAAAGCTTATAATCGACTGAGCGTGTTCATCCGATTTGTATGTATCACGCTTGTATCTGAAACTAGGAATATGAACTATAAGTCTGGGGTCCTATTGTAATTATGCAAAGTGTGAGCCATTAATGGTGGTTTAGAATCTTGATGGCTCCCATTGACTAGGACAATTGGTTGTAGATGGTTTATTTACCTGCAAACCTTCTTGCGGACCTGGGGGCCAACCCATGAGTAATGAAGAATGAGGTGTTACAGTGGCATGTGACCATGTCACCTGGTACTGGAATCCATCTTAAACCTGGTGCTTTTCCATGTAGAAGGAGGGGTTGGGACCCAGAGAAACAAAAGATTCCCGCCTTGTGCCAAAGCCATGAAAGGGAATGGAACAGAACAAAGGGGGCTGCCAGTCATGAGAAATCCCCTAGTTAGCACCGGAGCTGGAACTAACAAAGGCTATACCAGGGGAACGGATTGGGCCCAGACTAGGAAGGAGTCCAGTCTGTGAAAGCAGCTTATTGGAACATCTCTGAGGGTGAGATTTACCTGTATTCAGTTTCTTAATGTATTAGCCTTAGACTTGCATATTCTGTTTTATTTTGCTTGGTGACTTACTTTGTTCTGTCTGTCTATTACTTGAAACCACTTCAATCCTACTTTTTATATTTAATAAAATCACTTTTCACTTATTAATTAACCCAGAGCAAGTATTATTTCCTGGGGGAGCAAACAGCTGTGCATATCTCTCTATCAGTGTTATAGAGGGCGAACAATTTATGAGTTTACCCTGTATAAGCTTTATACAGAGCAAAACGGATTTGTTTGGATCCCATTGGGAGCTGGGTGTCTGGGTGCTGGAGATAGGTGACCTACTGAGCTGTTTTCAGTTAAAGCCTGCAGCTTTGGGGGCGTGGTTCAGACCCTGGGTCTGTGTTGCAGCAGGCTAGCGTGTCTGGCTCAACAAGGCAGGGTTCTGGAGTCCCAAGCTGGCAGGGAAAACGGGCTCAGAAGTACTTTCAGCACATCAGGTGACAGTCCCAAGGGAGTCTCTGTGACCGAACCCGTCACAACTGGGTGCTAGCGACCACGAACTAAGCTCATTTGCGAGCATGAGAGTGTCCCAACTAGTACTAGCCAGACTTGGGCTTTAAAAGGGCCAGTTTCCCAAGGCTGAAAACATCGTGAGCAACGGTGGGTGACAGAGAACAAATGTCAACAAAACATGTGACGGTGAGGAACTGCTTAAGGACGCAGCGTTCGACACCCAGAAACCAATTCTGCAATCATGACAGGTGCCTTCTTGGGTTAAAAGAGGGGAGGTGAAGGCAGCTGCTACCCAACCTCTCTCCACCCCTCCCCACCCCCAAACCAAAATGGAAAAATGAGAAGTTGGTAGCAATGAGTAGAAACTGGAAGTTAGGAAATGCAGACAGGTGTTGGGGACGCTAAAGGTATCAGCGAGGAATAGGGCCTGGAGGGGTAAGGACCGAGCAGGAATCCTTTCAATAGACGAGGAACAAGCCAAATCCTAGCAATGGGCTACGACCAGTATTAGAGCAGGATAGTAAAATTGTCAATCACAGAAGTACTTAACAAATATTTCTCTTCTGTATTTGGAAAGAGACGGGACGATACGTCCATATCGGAGTCTGATAATGAAACACTCTCTAGTCCCTCAAGAACCAGGGCGAATGCTAGACAGCAAGTATTAAAGTGAAACCTTTGGAACCCGCAGTCCTGGATAACTTGCACCCAAACGTGTTAAAAGACTTGGCCAAGGAACTCTCTAAATCCCGTGTGTCATTTTGAACAGGCTCCACCGGAGGACTGAGGAAAAGCTAACATTGCACCGTGACTGAAAGGGGGGAACCAGGAAGCTATAACCCAGTTAGCCTGATGTCAGTCCAAGACAAAGTTGGGGCAAGACTGGTAGTGGGATGGAACCAGACAAGAATTCAAGGCTGGGAGCATGATGGGTTTAATCTACGGCCAGGGAGCTCGAGGTTAGCTCTTAGAAACAAGCTGGCTAACTCCCAGGGGAGTTCCACTCCGGGACAGGCGTCCAAGGGCAGGTGCGGAAGCCCCATCACTGGAGGTGTTTAAGAACAGGTTGGATAAACACCAGCCAGGGCTGGTCTAGGTTTACTTGTGGCTGCCTATTTCAGGCCTGTATTTCAAAACTTGTGCTTGGCTTCTGGGTGACACCCCAAACAATTGGTGTCCGCTCTGCCTAGCCTGCTTGATGGCCATTAAGGACCATCAGCTATACAACTGACCCATTGAGAAAAGGCAGATACACCTTATGACTCAGCAATGCATGCAGGGGCATGCCTACGGACAGGACTCTAAGCACCTGGCACTGGCCACTGTCGGCAGACAGGATTCTGGGCTAGATGGGCCTTTAGTCTGACCCGGTGTGGCCGTTCTGATGACATTCCCTCCCCATGTCCACTGTGCCTCTCACTCCCAACCCTCAGCTCTCTGCCAGCCTGACCCCAGGGTCTCCCTCAGCTGCAGCAGTGATCTGAGGCAGGCCCCCCTTCCACTAACCCATTGGCACCCTGGGCACAGGTCCGTGCCAGCTTAAGAATTTTCTTCTTGTGTCTCCCCCTGGCATTAGCAGAGGGCAGCACCATGACTGGCAGCTGCCTGCAAGAGCCAGCTCACAGCAG